GTTATTAAATGTGAGGTTCCCATCAAAACAGCACTTTCCTTTGGCACTACATTTTTTCAACTGCTGAATCACCGTACTCCTACACACAAGCACACCTACAGTGTGCACTGAATTATGCCACAGCCACAGGTCAGCTGAGTGAATCAGAAAGACCTACACTGTACTTTGTTTTGACAGGAAGATAAATAGGTGAAAATATTCTACATGAAGCTACATTTAAGCAGATATTGGATTGTTTCGGTGGGCGTCTTTTAAAAATGTCTAATACATGTTTTTCTGCTGGCCCCGCCTACAGCAGCTGATCACTGATAGTGTTCCTGCTGCATCTCCTCACTGAATCTACTGCAGGTAACACACCGATTATACATGACTACCTCACACAACCCCACGTCAAATACCTACAACTATCTGAAAACTTGATGATGATCTGATCTGTGTGTGCAGCCTCAGGGTCACATGCTCACAGCACTGTGTGAGTCAGTAGCTACGAACGACCAGGTGGAAGAGGCACACAGCCATCGATGGGCTGCAGTGGTGGTGGCACCAAGGCAACGACTGCTGGTTGTATGCACATGTTTTATGTCACACTAATGTTTTACTCATTTATTCAGCAAACACTCAAGTGTTTCCTGTGAATGTGTCACCAAAGCCTCGTCCAGCTCAGACTGCACTGATTGATTTAATGATGTTAGCCTCAGCAGCTCTGGACATTTTAATATTTAAAGCTCTTTGTTTTAAAGGTCTGCTCCTTTCCACCTCTCAGTCCTCATGTATCACGCCTGTGGTAAAGGCTGAGACGGACAGGACCAACAACATTCAGCTGTCTGTATTTAGCTTAGCATCACTGAGCATCAGCTGTTTACAGTCAACTGTGGTCAACTTGTACATTTAAATACCTTACCTTAAATCCAGTGGGTCAGTGTGATTTCAATCAAGTCTGTCTGTGTGTTTTAGTCTGTGTGTAAACTGTTGTAGTCTGTGTGTCTGTTGTAGTCTGTGTGTAAACTGTTGTAGTCTGTGTGTAAACTGTTGCAGTCTGTGTGTAAACTGTTGTAGTCTGTGTGTTAATTGTTGTAGTCTGTGTAAAGGGACAGACAGACGACGTCCTTCCTTTCTTCTTACCTCTTCTACTTCCCGTTCATCAACTCCAGGGTCAAACATAGAGCCCAGGTAGGTGAGGTGGAAGATGGCCAGGAAGCTGAAAACCAGGTTCAGCACCACCACCCAAAACCCCTATAGAGAAAGAGACAAAGAACATCTTTTGAACCCTGATATACTTTCAGTATATCGGATAATAATAAAAGAAAAACGAGAAATAAACTAATACAAACTAAATAATAAAGGATTAGGTGCTGTTTACAAAAGTAGGGCATTCTCCAAAATGCATCTATATGATAAGGATTGTGTCGACCTGGGAGAATTTAATTTTACTACAAAAACTTCGATCAATTCTCTCAATGGAAAAAAAAAAAAAAAAAAAAAAAAAAAAAACTAACCTGTCCTAGACAACCTAACTAAACCTAACTGGCAGCCTATTAGCCACAGTCTGTTGTAGCTGTGGTCCAGCTGTGGGTTGAGGTGTGTGAAGATTCCAGCTGGAATATGATCCTTTCAAACAGCTGATCAGGACACTCTCCAATAAGATCCATGACTCGTGTGTAGATCCTGGAAACTGTGCAACAATGTCTACAACTGTACAGGCAGCATCAATACAACCTGTGTGTTGATGGTGTGATTTTCCTGTTTACAAATTACTCCTCCTCCTTCCATCTATGGCACTGATCAGAGCGGGTAGACGGACCATGAAGCTGCTGAGTAATATCTTTTTAGAAATTCATAATTGTGTAAGGTTTCCAGAACACTGCGACGTGGAGTGACAGCAGCCCTTTATGATTGTTACGACTGTGGTCGTATATTATTTCGTTGTATGTGTTCTCTTTGTATTTTGACAGGTGGCATGATCGTGACGTATGTAAATGTATGTGTGCCGGGACCAGATGGGGATTGGGGCGCAGCTTTCATGGTGGCAGCTGATTGGCTCCTGTCCTAGGCACCAGCATTTAAAGGGCAAGATGGTGTGACTGAGCAGCTAGAGGGGAAAGCCAGTTCTTTCACCCATCCCAACCTGCCACACATTACCACCGCCCTACGTCGTTGTGCATTGTTATTTGAGAGAGCTAGTAGGGTTGGAATGCCTTTTTAGTTCTGAACACCTTTTCTCCTGTTTTTGTTAGACAGGGAGCTTTGTTGATGTATTTTGGTTTTGGGTTATCTTTAGGCAAGTTACGTTTTGTTTTCAGGTAGACTTCTTTTGTTTTTTGGGCTGTGTCCACCCCGAAGTTATAATTTGCTCATTGTTGAAAATAAAGACTCCCGTTGATAAATTTAATAATTCTTTTTTGTGGCTACTTGGGACTCGGGGAAGATGTGGTATTCATGTTGTGTCCTGGCCACCCGTAGACGGGACATAACAATGATTCTTTGTGATTTGGTCTCAGTGAGTTTGGAGTCCTCTCCACTACTTCTAACTTCTCCCAGACTTAGGAGCTACTTTTAGCACTAAGTGGCTTTGTGAATTACGCTCAAAAAAAATGAGGAATCCTAAAGTTAGGACTCACACACCCAGAGTTTCTCCTAAGTCTGCAAGTAAGGAACTACTTTTAGCTTTAAGATGTTTTGTGAATATGGGCCATGGGTTTATACTGTCATGTCTTTTTTCTTGTAATGCTAACATTAGTGTTAGCTCCTTTCATGCTTGTTTTTTAACCTTTTTCCTTCTATCTTATAATTTTTTCTGTTTTATGGCTACTGTTTACTGTATTTTATGCTACCGGGTGACCCTTGGTAACCCTGTGTTTAATGTCACAACGCTATGAACTTTGGTAATTCCCTCAAGCAAAGTCTGAAGAAATGTGAAATTGTGCAAAGTGTGAATAAAGGGCTCAAAATGTCTGATAGAGAGACTCGTGTCCTCAATGGTTTGACAGTGGGACAGTCCTGAGACCTCATGGACTGACCGGTAACAAAGTCTGTGAGGGGGGCACTGGGATTGGGCCTTCTGGTAGAACCATGACCTGGAGACTGAGAACCTTTACAGACCTCTCATCACCTGGACCAAGTCTCTATATGAATTTACTGCAGCTAATACAAACATCCTGAAGCTACATGACAGAAGTCAGAATACGGAACACTTACTGTTTTCTGTAACTTTGAATCAATACACACCCACTGAGCACTTCACTACAACACCTGTTCACCGGCTTAATCATGCTACTGTCCAATCAGCTAATCATGTGGCAGCAGCAGATCCAGGTGAGGCGCTTCAGGTAATGTTCACATCAAACATCAGAATGAGGAGAAATGTGACTGTTGGTGTCAGTATATGGACCACACTACAACAGGTACCTGAGCACTGATCCTCCTTCTGAATATGATGCTGGTTATTTTCATAACTGCATTACTAACAGAGACAAAGACTTTCATGGAGGTTACCATCTTAAAACATGTGTGTATGTTCTGCTTAGAACTCCAGATGAAGTTTTACCTTCTTGTGCTTGTGGCTGCAGCCGGAGTTACAGGGTCTTGACAGGACACAGGCGCTGAAGATGGAGGCAAGCCTCTTCCTCAGAACTGGAGAGAAAGAAGAAAACACACAAACACTATCACAGTAGCTCTACAGTACATGTTCATGTGTATGCAGCTCTACACTAAAATACTTTACAAAGTATAAGCAGAATTGTTATTCATACCATGTTCAACATATGTGATGAATCCCAGAGACAGCAGAACAGCCCCGAGGTGAAAACTCAGACCCTGAACAAAACAAGCAGGACATTTAGTTCAAATAGTGACAGATATCTAGAACCACTTTCATTTTGAATGATCCACATCCACAGATGATCTGCCTGCATGCTAAACCTGAACAGACTGGAGTTTATCATCATCATCAGACCAAGAGAAAGTTCCAACAAAAAAAACAACTGTCTGTGATGTGCTTTCAGAAAGCTGTTATAAAAAGTCAGTGCTCATCTCGTCAATAAAAATATTTGTCAACTGAAGCTGAAAAGATGTCAACTATGAGGAAATGTGACGTTTTCCATCAACAAATAACAGTGATGATGTCAAAGATTGACCAATGGACATATTCAACAACCTGCATGAATTTCGGGAACCACACTCTGTAGCTGCTGAGCAGTAAAACTGTAGAGCTCCAGGTTGATGCAGCTGTTTGATCGGTTTCATTTCTTGTTAAGAAGAAGTATCTGACACTCAGTAACATTTGTGTTATCTGACGTAGGGCAGTTAGCCAGAATACTACTAACGCAACATTTGCAACCTCTTAGCTACCTCTTAGCCACCTCATCTTGCTCATGTCGATTAATTCAGTTCATACCTTCTCCAAGTTCATGAACTGTCCCCTTAAAGAAATACTACCTCTGTTCAGTCACGTGGCTCCACCCAGTCAAACTAACGTTAGTCCACATTCTCTCAAAGTGAAACTGCTGATGTGGACAACAGGAGAGCAAACACTGAGGCTCAGGCTGCATCCACACTAAAACGTTTACTCCTGCTGTCCACACAACTTCAGAGTTTTAGAGCCTCTAAAACAGAGACTTCTGGAAACGCTGCTGGACACATTTTATTTTGAAAACTCCAGGGTTGTGACTTTTGGAAACCATGACACCAGCCTCACCTCCTGATTGGCTCTTATCAGTCACGACTACCGCACAGTGGTGAAGGCAACATGGATAGTGACCAAAGGTAACACCACTAACCACTAATTAGTTTAATCACTTGGACACAATCACTCTAAACAGGAGAGAGGGAGAGAATTGTAATTGTTTAACTCGAGCACCAGCATTTCATCATACTTATTTTAATGTAATTATATTTATTCAAATTTATTCTGTATTTTATACCTTGTACTTGCATTTTATCTTTTACTGTGTGTTGTAAGGTGTCTTATTAATAAAATGTATTATTAATTGTAATCGAAGTAAAAATGAAATAATGGTGACATTGATTTGAAGTCATATCTGTTCCATGGACTAGATTCATCTCCTGAGAATTAGACAGCTGAAGCAAACTATGATCACATGCATTTTTTTTTTTTTTTTTTTTTTTTTTTTTTAAAAAGGTAAGCTAACATAACGTTATCAATTGCTGAGAATGTAACATTAGTTCCTGTCAGTTGGCCATCTTTCCTTTTGCTATCAGAGCGAGTGAGTAAATTCTAGGATGAGATGTTCACTAAAGAAATATTATGATGTTATCCATTGATTTAGCTGCTCCTCTCACGTTAATCAGGTTCTGGATGAGTCCATAGATGAGAGTGACACCTGCAACCACGGGTAACCGTACATGACAACAACCACAACAGCTGTAAACTCAAAATTTGTCAACAGTAAAATTAAACATGTGTGAAGAATGAGACTGAAGAAAACTGGACTGAAACATGTTATTAACCTACTGTTGACTGAAGCTGGAGTAAAACTAACACACATGCAGTGACTGAAATATGACTGAATCCAGACTAAACTGAACCTGGATGAGTTCTGTGGACAGAGGAGTGTGTGGTCTCACTGACATGCAGTATGGCGCTGGCTGTGTACGTCACCAGGATGGCTGGAAAAGTCCCCAGTTTCATGGCATTTTTAAACACATCTGAAGAACATGAAGGACAGAGCACATTATGACAACATATAAACATTACCACAACATGGTACCAGCCAAACACAGTAAAGACCAACAGGGCTGCGACTAATTATTGGCATTATCCAGTTATATGGTGATTATTTTCTCAGTTCAACATTTAGTACAAACAAAAAATTAATTGTGATATCATCACAGCATTTGTTCTGTCTGACCTTAAATATTTGATTTACTGTTATATATGACATAGAAACACTTCACATTCAAGAAGCTGAAACAGCTGATCTTCACCATGGTTTCTATTGGTGGACTGAGCTCAAAATCTCCCACTCAGCAGTTACACACAGAACCGATCGAGTCATTCAGCCCTGACACCTAGAAGGTTGTAGGTTGTATCAAAACACAATAGGACATATTAGCAACAGCCAGTTGTTTTAGAGATAGTATTGGATGGACCAGTGAAGTCAGATGGTCTGTGGACTGTGTCTCAGACTCACAGGTTTTGAGCCATCGGGACATGGGGATGTTCCAGGACGTGACCACCAGCACCATGGAGCGAGGCATCTCCACACTGAGAGGCTTCACCACACTCAGGTCCCTGCACAGAACACACACACAGATCAGACTCTGTCTTTATGTTTGATAGGGACAGTCTAGGACACAGGACTGAGGACGTCCTCTCTCTACACTCAACACACATCAGGCTGCTCTCTGCAGCAGGTGGATTATTGGACTATAGATGACTGCTTTCTGATGATTAGTTAACTCCACTGTGTGGAGTCTATAACTCCTGAACCTGGACTCATTTTTATTCTTTCATTCATTTTCTGTTCCTTTAAGATCAATGCTTTCCAGTTCTGCACAGTTTCATCTGTTTTTTTTTTTTTAATCCAGGAAAAGAAGAATCAACTGAAGCAGAAAACTAAATATGTAATTTGCCAAGAGTGAAACATGTTGGGTACATGTGTTATTATAATCATTGGTGTATTATAACACAGGTGCAGTCCAGACTGAACATACCATCTGATGTGTTCCTTCTCTTCAGTGAAGCCGGCTCCAGCCAGCATGCTGGTGCCTTCACTGAGGTGACCCACAAAGTAGTTACTGAAGTGGAACGACACTGCATTCTCATAGGCACGCAGCCATCTGTTCAACACACCACACAAACACACACCCATTATCTTCAATCAGCTCCAGCTGAACAGAGACAATCTCTAAACTAAGTGCTCTTCTGCTTCACATTACTGACAGGCACCCAAGTAATCTGATTACTCTCACTTTCTGCATTAACATAATAAGTCCACATGGAGAGGAACTTTAGTCACATGACAACAGCCCATATACAGTCATGTTACTACTGAGATGAGGGACCATACCAGTGGCTTCATATGTTCAAGATAAATACCTCTGCTGCTGTCAGTCATGTCAGAGTGTGGCGCTGGACTTTAGCTTTGGTTTCAGACCATGAAACAATCCAGTTGTATTGGATGAGTAACACATGTCCCACCTATGACGACTCCACATTTCACAACAGCAGCTTCAACATGTCCCATTCATTCATGCTGCTGTCATATGGTTCACCTTCACCAGCAGCTGCAGAGGCTTGTGTTCTGGTTGATGTGATGATGTCATTGTCTCCTTGTCTTTTCTCTGTTCACCTCAGCATCAATTCCTCCTCAGACGTTCTGTGGTCTGATCCTCTACTCACCCACTAGCCCTGTTCATTACAACTAAGAGTCGAGTTCAGATTGTTTGATCGTCATGTCTGATCATTACCTTGATTTCCTGTTGACTTTCATAGCTTATTAATGCAGCTGAAAGTTGAGATGAAACACTGAGCAGTATGAGTGTTGTTTGTTTGCTTTTTACTGTGTGTAAGATGCTTCTGCAATCAAACCTGGAATTCAACTAGCTCTGCTGAAAAACTAAGAGTAAATCACTTTTTCTCCACTAGGACGCTGCCATTTTTGAAGATGCCAGATGTGACATCACCGGTTCTCTGTTTGTCTCTGTGGTTGTTGTTAGATATTCACTACTAGGAGGCGTCAGTGAATATCCCAACTGATATTTATTGGAGAAGAGAGTAAAGGACACAGCAGAAGACGAGGAGGGTTCTTTGTATTGGCCTTGGATGCTCACATGAATAATGCATTCATTCAAACATATATGAGTAGAATTAATATACAAGTCAGCGCTCTCTGTGTTATGGGCTCATTAGGATCACAGTGGAAATAAGTGGACAGATGCAGTTGTGTTTCTGACTCGGTCTATGGGTCAGAACTTTAAAACTCCACTGTACCAACCTCCACTGCGTCACTGGTCTGAGGTATTGTTGTACTAATAAACAAACCGTTCTCATGTCAACTGTGACAAAAACAAAGATGGCGGCACACTAGGTTATAAATACAACGTAAAGGTATGTTAATAAGAGAAAAGGTTTATTTTTTATCAAGTTGTGTTTTTTGTGGTAAATAATTCATTGATGCTTTAACAGCTGTTTATTTCTCCATTTCATCTCTGTAATGGTGCAGCTCTGTCATCTGCAACAGGAACAATTCACTGTACAAAACCACTGGTATGCTCCACACTGAGGTCACAACATGATACCTGAACCATCTCCATGACAACAAAAACTATGAGATGAGCTGAGAATGTTTTGTCAAAGTACCAGATATTGGATCACTGTAGCATCGTACCACTAACGAAGAATGAACACAGCACTGATGGGAGCAGATCTCCTGTTCAGCTGTCATTGTAAACACACCGCAACAGACTGTAGGAGGAAGCTGTCACTTCTAACTGAAAACAAGCCTTACCTTTTTCAAATGTGTCTTGGAAGCAGGGGAAGAAAGACAGACAGTCTGTTCTCAAACCAGTGAAAGGTGTTGTACTGGCAAAACTTCTTAAGTTCCAGGAAGCAAATTGAAATGAAAAATTGTCTTACTTGTCTGTGACTGTGTTTCCATAGATGGGGATGAACAGAGGGAAGAGGTAAGGGGCGATGCAGGTGGAGACCAGCAGACAGAGCTGACTCTTCAGGAGGCTGATGGAGGAACTCCACAGCCACATCCAGCTCTGAGAAACAAACCACCTCATTACCACCACAGCACTACACAGGAAGACACAGGGAACCACAAATATCATGTACTCACCAGTTCTCTGCCTTCAATGGCGTTCTTATAACTGGAGAAGCTGATCCAAGGACCAAACACAACAGTGCCCACAAAGAGAACATAGCCCAGGAACTCAGCTGGGGAGGGCAGGCCTGCCACTGCTGCTCTGTCCAGGTCAAAGGCCAGAGAGATGGCCTTCATTGCCACCACCATCTGAGAGCCTGACACACACACACACACACACACACACACACACACACACACACACACACACACACACACACACACACACACACACACACACACACGTATGAAAAAGCAGACTCTACCCATGACACGAGTCTCCATGTGTAGATGTGTATTCAGTTTAATAAAAAATGCACATGTCCCAGATATAAAGTAGCAGCTGTGGAAAACTGCAAAACTGTAGAACACTTCAGAATCAGGGAGAGTAACTAAGAAAGAAAAACTTCCATAGCAGTACAAACAATATGATGGAATATTTACCTCTTATTTTATGCCAGGTCACCATGTCAATTAAATGCAACTCTCTAAAATGAAAAGGTAGAAAAATAATATTACAACTTAAAACCAGAAACTACAAGGTTTCAAATAAGTGATTCAACAAGCAATGTCAATGTGCAACGCCAGCACAAAGAATATCAGGCAGTATGTTGGTCATGATCTCTGTGACTGTCATTGTGATGAAAGACTCAAAACTGTTTGATGCCAACAAACAGTTCCTGATTTAAATCAGGAAATGAACCAAACAAGATGTGACATCACTGATCTGATGTGGACAGTAAATAAATACTGAACCGATTAGGAACTCTGAGTAACTATGAGAGTGTATGTATGCATGTATGTATGTATATTTTTATTTTATTTTTAGAATACTGACTTTAATCTCAGAATTCTGAGTTTAAAATCAGAATTCTAGAAAAAAAAAAAGAAAGAAATTGTTTCACATGTGGCCCTAATCCTGTTCTGTAGTTTTCTGACATATCCACTGCCAGGAAACACCAACACAGCTGCTAAACCAGGTCTCATTCACTATGAATAGCAGTGGTCACTGTCCCAGATTTTTGAATCCACATGTGAAGGCATCAATGGAGCACAGAGTGTGGGAATTGCCTGTATTTGAATATTTGCATACTGCTACAATAGGCATTTGGTTTTGACTGTTTTCTGTTGAAAGCTGCAGTTTCCAGGACACTAAGGGCCTGATTTACTAAAGCTTTGCGTGCGTAAAAACGTGCGCAAACGCGACAGCACGCGCAAAACACATGTTGATGCTGATCTACCAACCGGGCGCACCGAGGGTTGCGTCTCTCAGTCGGGCAAAATAACACACGCTATCCATTTTGCGCTTCTGCCTTCATGAATATGCAATATAGGCGTGCCTGCCAGAACGCGCAAAATATTGGGAGGAGTAGATGCAAATAGAATCATTTTGCGCACGCAATGAGATTTACCAAACCTCAAACTAATTGCGCTGATTATTTTTGCGTCTATATTTAGCACGTTTGAAAGTCAAGTCTTAGGCTACCTGGCACAGCCGTGCGCACAGATGGCTGCGGTCATTGTTGCAAGGAGGCGGCGTAGGCACGACAGGCAACGGAGAGAACGCATCTTTTCTGTTCGTGTCACTCTTTTTGGAATGGCAGAAGAAAAAATAATCGAGACATATCGGTTATCCGGTGATGCCATTTTGGAGCTTCTCCGTGAAGTAGGAGCTGATATGGATCCAGTCACAAGGAGGACTCATGCAGTGCCTGCTATGAAACTCAGAAATGTGCTTGTTTGCCTCTTGTACCAGCACCTCCAATTCCGTGGCTTCAAATTTGCTTTTGCGCTTCCGTTGGATCTGCTCGTTTGCATTCGCCATGGTGAACACCCTTAACTCGCGCAAAATCTTCATTTAAATAGGGTGGGCTCAATCACTTTTGCACCTGTAGTCAATTGCACTGTTAATGTAAGTAAATCACACGCAAACCCCAAACAGGCAGCACGCGCAATCTATCCGTGTGCGCACGCAATTTAGCGCTCTTTATTTGGGATCTTAGTAAATCAGGCCCTATGTGTTTTTGCAGTGATATCTCACCCAACAAGGAGGTAGACGAGGATAACAGCCGAAAGGAAGATGCCTCTGGTACTGGAGTGTTGAGTGAGCAGCAGAACGAAGTAACAGAGAGCACTGAACAACAGCACCCACAGCATCTGCAACTCAAAGAACAGGAAGAGGCTGTACATCCCAGCCAACACTGACACTACATGCTTCAGGGTGGACACACCTCCTGAGGAACACAAGCAGGACAAAACTTTGATTTATAGTCACAAGTCCAGCAGCATCCAGCAGCATCCAACAGCATCCAAACATTAATATGGTTGGACTTGGGTTGATTATAGACAAATTTTAATAAATGTATCTAAATACATTTCATTGTCACTTTGAGTGACAAGACAGAAAAGCATCAGAATACAGTGGTGTTGAAAATAAGGAACATTACAAGTGTCAGTAAAGACAGCATCCACATTTTCTTCCAACTACGTCAACATCAAAGACAGTGCAGACAAGTCTTCTTTTGAAGGCTCCTACTTGTTGACATGCAGGTACTGTAGTCCAGCTCACCCAGTCTAAAGCAGAGTCTGCAGATCAGGCAGAGCAGCAGTAGAGTCCAGACCTGCTGGAGACCCTGCTGGACCGTGATGAGACCACAGTTCTCAGCCAGCTGTTGCCAAACCTCCAGTCTGCTGGATATGTCCATCCTGCTGTTGCACCCGCACAAACACAGGGAGTCTTCTGAAGTGTACGACACCTTTCATCAACATATGACAATCAAACAAAGTCAGATTCATTATTTTACATGTGAAGGTCCATCTGGTCAAAACCTACACACCACTGAGCAGAGTGTGCAGAGCATCATGGAAACACTGGATTTACAGAACATTAGCTTCAATGTGATAGTTAAGTTGTTGTGTATTGTTCCAGTTACTTTAGATAAAACTAAGTATTATTATGATTATTGATCAACTGGATGATTATGTCCTCGTGTTACTGAAAAAAGGAAAAATATCAATCACAATTCAAATCATCCAAAGAGCAACGTCTCTGGCCTCTACACACTCACCTGACTACAGCAGCACACTCACCTATTGACATATAATATCAACTAACTAACGTTAGTCAGGTAGGAAACTTTAAGCTAACTTTAACTTTCCGGACTTTGTAAACTCTGAAACATGGACTAAATTAACCAGTTTAACCTCAGATGCTGTCAGAGATGCCGCTTGCTAACTTTACCGTCAACTTACTTAAACTAGTCTTGTTGGGCGGACGTTAGCCCTGTAAAATAATCACAGATGTGGCGGAGCCTGTCGGTCCTGGTTCAGCTGCTGTCTGAACCGAACCGAACCGAACCGAACTGCACCGAACCAAGTCGTGTAGTTAGTTAGCTCAGGAGCTAAACTGGTCTGTGGATCAGCAGGCGGCAGGTCCAGAACTGATAAAAACCTCTGTGACTGTAAACTTAACGATGAACCGCGAAACAGCTACAGCTACAGCTACAGCTTCTTCTTCTTTTTCTTCTTCTTCTGCTGCTGCTTCTTCTTCTTCTTTTTCTTCTTCTTCTTTTTCTTTTTCTTCTTCTTTGTCTGTCCCTTTCTTCTTCTCTTCTTCTCCCCCCCTGCTCTTGTTTCTGTGGCGGAGGAAAAACCAGTTTAACTGCGAATTACCGCCCTCTGCTGGACACAAATGTGTAATAACACCAGAGGCTGACTGACGTCCGTCCCATTAGGAAACCCGAGACTGGATTAACGGGATTAACTGGGCAAAACGGGGATTGCACCCTAAATGCCCCATGTTTCCCATGTATCCTCCATTTTGTTTCTGTCTACATCATTTCATCAGTCTCTAACTTGCTAGAAATTTTCACCACTTGAAGAACAAGGCCCGAAAATATTAAGTTTACTATCATTGAAAAATGTAGGCTACTGTACTGTATTGTTTGTGAAATGTTGTTTTGTATTGCTCAGTGCTGCTCAGTGTGTCCACTGCACTACAACATGCTGCCATGTTACGCAACATTATGTTAAGTGGTAGGATGTGATGTAATTAGATTGTGCTGCCAATATGAATACTGATGTGCATCATATGTTCTACAACTAGACAGTTATGGTTCAATAGTATGATTAAAATGGTTTAGTTGGGATGTGAAAATCAGGGCTTCATTTCAGGTAAATCTCCCAACAGTAATTAAAGATATTGAAAAAGGCCAGTCATGTTTCTGGAATAGAAACAAGATATTTACATATATTGAAAATGCAAACAAACTTCAAGTTCCTATTGCAAACTGTTAGTAGGGGGCTTGTTGAACATCCAAGTTCCAGATGTTACTCATGTAAATTACTTTGTGGTCATTTTATTTATTGGGCCATGTGAGCGTAATATAACTGAACTAAAACAATAAAGTACATGCCTGGATTTTGACTCACAGACTATCTGCAATACAGGGCCCCAAAGTCAGGTAACAACACAGAACCCACCTTAGATACTGGTTACTGAACATCAGTGGTTCAAATTTGCAACATTACTGACACATTTTCACTGGTTGAGGAAGTAATCACATCCTTCACTGAAGTAAGAGCAACACTCAACTACAAGTAAAATGGTTGCATTTAAAATATGACCCAAGTAAAAGTACAAAGTCCACATTATGCAGGTTGTCCCACTTCAGAGTGTATGGTATATACAGTAGTATATTGTATTATTGTATGTTAACAGCATTTTAATGTCATAGCTGGTCCAGGTGGAGCTCATTTGAACTATTTCATATACATACTCTTATATAAACATACAATTAATCGTCATTTATAGTCATATTATAAAACATATTTTAGGAGGAGATCTATATATAAAATATTAATCTGCAAAGTATCAATGGTTGTCATATAAAACTGGCAGCACAATATTTACCTCTAAAATGAAGTGTGTAGTCTATAAAATATTGTTGAATGGAAGTAATTTATTGAAATTTGCCACTCCAAAAAACAGTTAACAAGCAGTGAATCTGAGGCTTTGCAAAATTGCTGACTGAATAACCAAAATTTCAACATTTTCTATGCTTCAGTGATTTCTTAAAATTAAATACCAGTCAGTGGTCTTATATTAGAATAATTTGACATCTTGTGTTCAAACAAAATAATGAAACAATTGTACGTTTCCACTTATTCTTCTTCCATTGCAACTTTGAAATGTGGATGTCGTTCCGAAATTAGTGTTCTCTGTTGTTTGAACCAAAATGTGGAACAGAACATGAGCTTTACTGGCATTCTTCTTTAATTCAGAGTATAACCTATAGCAGAAATCACAGTCATAGAATCATATAGGGGAGAGCAGGTGTGGTTGTAACACTTGTTGCTTCACCACCAGTAACTCACAGAATTTTTGAGCTACAGTTTTCCAACCTTTATACAAAGTATCCACATTTGTTTTCTAGAAATGGCACCAATTCAAACTTCTGCAAGACTATCACAGATGTTGAAAGTTAATGTCAAATACATGGTGTTTCTTTGTCACAATCCACCCGACCACAGGGGTAGGTAACACTTTCTGGGGTAAGTAGTAACAGTTAGTCAAACAGAGGCCACACCATGCAATGTGCTTCAAAAAGAAGTTCATTGAAATAAAAAAAACAATCCAAAACAATTTCTCTGTGAACCAGTCAAGCCCCGCCATCTGATCCTTGGCCCATATCAAGCTGAGTTCCCTAATATTAGAAAACTGTCACTTATATCAGAGTCATATCTGACCAGCAGGATCTATACTCTGGCTCCAGTAATAAAGTGATGTTGTTATGTGATGACATGTGATGTGACATCATCATGAAACAAAGGGATGTGTTTGTGTAGTAGTTGTACTGCTCGCACTGCAGCTGTTACCATGATTACAACTACCAGTCATATGGCCTTTATTTCTACTGCAGCTATAACAGAGCTACTCACAAAGCTACTGAACTGTTACCACGGAAACGTGGTGTTGTGTAGTTATGTAATAGTAGATGGATGAATGATGGGTGATTGGATGAATGGATAAATGGATGGATGGATGGATGGATGGATGATGGCTGGATGATGGATAGATGGATGATGGATGGATGATGGTGAATGAATTAATGATGGATGGATGGATGGATGGATGGATGGATGGATGGATGGATGGATGGATGGATGGATG